GAAAAGGAAGAAATCAATGATCCTCTTATTCATTACATATGCTTGATACATCCAAATAATAACTGATTAAAATATTCTCTGATTATGGCCTAAAACAGGTCCTGCAAGATAAAAAATACCATTCTACATCAATAACAGTACCCTCCCGTATATACAGAGGAATCACACTAAGACTGAACAAGGAATCCTTATGTTAGTATTTTCTAATTTCCGGGTGCTAAACTCCAAAACAAAGCTTGGAATGTAGCTTTCATATGCAATTCATACATTCCTCAACAGATTCCAGGTAAAAACACTTAAATTATGCTTATTGAATCTGAAAAAAAAAATAAATCTGCAGATATTAGGAAAAGAAAATAAACAGAGTTTTATTAACGTAGTCACTCCAAACTTGCACCAAAAAAAATGCTCTCACCATGAAATGAAATTTGACCAGTACATTTATTGCAATCCTTAGTCAAAAGAGGTCAGTGATAAGACTGGCAAGTAAAAGATCTGATATCACTCAGGGAAAGATGAGGAACAGAAATTTCAGACCTTTGAACTGGCAATATTTAAAAGGGGGGGGCCAACACAAACCTACACCTCTCCCTCGTCTCATTCACCTTCAGCTTCTACTGTAAATAGTCCAAACCAAATATGAAAAGTGACTGCATTAGGACAAACTCCAAGTCTACTGCTATCAACTTATCTTAAATAAACTGTTTGTCTCTGTTAAGTAAACTATTTAACAGAAAATTGACTGTCAGAAAAACTGATGTACATTTTTTAGCAGTGAAAATAAATCATACGGGTTTGATCCCAAAAATAATCATCACAGGGAGTCTTTCTATTTCTATGGGTTACTGGCACGAGTGGGGCTACACTGGCACTCAAGCCCCTGATGAACTGAGCCAGCCTTTTGAAACAACAGTCTTGTTAGCAGAGCTCTTTTAATCCATTCCTCTGTTGTACTGCTCTGCATCCCAAATGGCCAGGAAACAAGAATTATAATTAGAAAATTGAATTTTTTTAATTAGCCAACATAAATTCAGTAAATACAGAAATCAGTCCACAGTGGAAGTGTCTGTCACTGATACAGAACTGACACTGCCCAGGATGAGATCCCTACAACAGAGCTGCACAGCAAACGTTCACTTTGCTACTTCAGGAGGTGTCGGATTCACTCGCCCACACCAGACCTCCTCTAGGAAGCAAAGGGACTCTGCAAGCATTAAAAATCAGGCAGAGAAGAACTCAGAAGGTAAAAAAGCAGTGTTCTTGCAGGGACATGCAGCAGGGAGCGGGAACCCTCCGGAGCAGGGATGATGAGCCGGGGTGCCACAGGGACCGCAGGATGCACTGCTGTTCCCACAGCTTCCTTCCCCTGGCCAAGGGCTCACACAGCAGCAGGGCAGAGGGGACAAAAGGCAGCTCCTCCCTGCCCCATCCTTGCTGGCTGTGCTCTCAGGGCCTCCACCCAAGCCTGTGCCATGTGGAGTGCCCCATGCTGGCAGTGCCAAGGAACCTGCTCCAGAGCTGCCCCTCCCAGGAGGTGCCAGTCCGACACCTTCTCCTGGGCTGCTCTAAGAGGAGACCACCGAGGTCAAGTGTTAAGTCCTGCTAAAGACTGAATAAAATTGTGGGGCTGCTTCACACACCTGAAACGGTTAAAAATATCCATATAATATGTTCAGCATATTGTTTTCCTTGGCAAAGCTGGTAAAATGTGCATAAGAAGTTGGATTAAAAAAACATGTGGGAAAACATCCTGATCAGCTCTGCCAGCGTAACGCTCCAACTAAATTAAAGCAAGAAAATAAGAACTGTCAAAAGCAATCAGGATACATGTGCCATGCAAATGCAGCTTTCTCCTGGTACTAAATTAAAATTTCTTTTCAAAAACCTGAATAGATGAAACAGAAAATTGCATACTGCCATGAAAGGGGGTGGAGTGAATACCACTCTGCACATTACCCTTTGTATAATAACAAAGGCAATACTATGTGTAGTAGAGAATGTTTCTGCTTATTAAATTTTATGTTGCTATATTCAATGGCATCACATTATATGCGGCCTTTTTTCTGCAATTAACCTCCAAAACACAAATTAAATATTTATGGATAAGTGTCAATTATGATTATGAGAAACAATAAAAGGACCGTAAATTAAATAAAGCAGAGAGAACAATAAAGTTTTTTCACATGATCAAAACAATGTTTCAGTGTTAATGTTTTCTTTTTCTAATTGAAAATGTAAATGTACTCATAGGTGCTGTTATCGCATAAAATTTGGTAAACAATACCATCTTTTCAGCATTATGATTCACTCCCAGTAAGGAAAAGCCAAACAAGCCTGGTTGTTTCTTCCAGCCGAGCCCAGCAGTGCAACATTATTGGATGCTTCACAGAAATCTTCAGTTTGAGGCTGTCCAGAGTGCAGTAGGACATTTTCACAGTTATTCCTAGACTATTTCCATCTTCTGTAATTAATTATCCACAATTGTATATTTTTCCAGTATTACCAGCTCCCCCACACATCCAAAATATTTTCCCACTATTGTATTTTTTAACTAAGCAACTAACCTTAGGCTTGTTAAAAAAAAAAAAAAAAAAAAACAAACAAAAAACACACAAATCAAAAAAAAACCAAAAAAACTCCACATAAATACTCAAATATGACACCAGGACAACCACCTCGTTGCTTTAAGGTCATTGCTTCTGTCTCCTGAGGTTGATTTTATTACAAAAATAATAAAGTTCTGAAACAAAACATTTTTACCAAACTACTAAAAGCAGTCAGAAGTCACCAGTGACGACTTTAGGAATTGTAAATGACGTGGGACACTCTGTTCACAAACAAATCAGATTTATGATTATATACAGTTGTTCCTGCTACCTGAAATTAGAATTAGAAGCTCATTAAATATGAATATGTTTCAGAGAATGCAGAGGCACAGCATTATATTGATGAAAGCTTCATTAAATTTTCAATGATAGAGCTGCTTCTATATTTGTGAGGGAAGGACACAGAGCAAGTAAGTTGGGGCAATTCTCCTTCAAGCAACTTTGCATCTTTCTACTTTCCCTAAAAAACAAATGAATTTTAAAACAAAATGTTGGACTAATTAGATGTAAGAGAAAGGGATTGTGGTCCATTATATTCAAGGAATGATTACTTTTAGATCAGCATTTGTCTTGTATATGTTTGTCAATTATATAACTGATGTTCCAGAAGAGAGGAATCGGGAGAGAAAAATGAGGTTTGAACGATCAAGCTCATATAAAACACAGACTCTGTACAGGTTCTGAACTCAATGGCACAGTCATCTGTTTAAAATATTCACTTAAAAAGACATCATGAGCATTGGTAATGAAGCCTTACCAAGCAAACAGTAAGAGATAACGTTTTGTGCGAGCAGGAATGTAAAACTATCTATCAAAGTCATGCAGTAATGCAGCCTTAATTTTACTGCAGAGACTGAAGCCAGGAAATACTGTGACAGGAAAACTAGACACAAGCCCACTATTCAACTACATTTCTAATATTATCTTTAAGTCAGACAATTAAAACCCCCATATGTGGAACGCCCATCACCAGGCTACATGAAAGAACGCAGAAACAAAAACACAAAAGTGAAAATTCAAGCGGTCTGATCCCTCTTGTGGTCGTGCACTACAATATAAATTTATTATATCTCCACATCACATCAGCCGGTTTCCTTTAGAAAAAAAAGGCTTATGCAACCAGGCTGCTACTCAGCTCCTCCCCTCTATATCCATTACCTTATGTCAACTAAGTCAGGCAGCAGGGTAGAGGCCTCAATGTCATGTTATTCCTCTAACAACCTGCACAATACACAGGGCGAGCATTACATGTTTTCCTTAGAGTTAATGTGCATGAACTGCCAGGAACTGGGATGTGGGGTTGCTCTTCCCAGCTTGTTAGGACTCCCACCTCTTTCAGCCCTCTGGATAGGCAAGGCTCAGCTAACACACATGCAGGCAATGCTGGTTTATCCTCAGACCTTGTTTATTCTGCCCTGCTCAAATCCTGCTTCGACACGTTCACTGTTTTTCCCCCCCCTCTAGTTTTCTTTGGCATGCAGAGTCAGCATTAAATAACTGACCTTCTCAAAACCACCATGAGGTAGCATTATCCCCACATTACCAGATAAGGAAATTAAGCCACTACAATTAATGCCTGAAGCATGCCCAAATTTCACATTCCTGATTTAAGAGTGATTAGCATTAGTGCTCCATAGGATTTCCTCTGCTCAAAGCCCAGCCTGCACTTCCACAGGGGTGTCCCACCAGCACAGCAGAGCCCCTGTGAAATGCTGGGCTCCAGGAACTTGGCCAACCCACCCCAGGGCTCTGTAAAGCAACCCAAACCCCCAGGTGCTGCTCCAGCCTAGGGACAGAACACAAGATCCAAGTGCCAACCTCCTTCTGCACCCTTCCTTCTTCCCCTGGCCGAGAGCTTTGCATCCAGGCACAGACTCCTTGCTCAGCTAATTTCCATTTAGGCACCTGCACCTCTTCACCACAATGTTCAAGCACACACACACTCATTATCCTCACCTCTCATCTTCCCATGGCCACCATGCCTTCATCCTCCTAGAACCTCACATCTTCCTACACAGTTCTTTAGCTCCAGTTTTTCCTCAGTCTTCCCAGATAGTTCTAAACCCTTCTCTAGCCCAGCCATCACTCCTTGTCTCAACTTCTCATGTAGTCACGTTCCTTTCTCCAAACAAGTCTCCCTCATGATCTTTGCTGCTTCTTTATTGCCACACGGTAAGACTGGGAGTCACCCTCCCCTTCCAACTCCCCTGCAGCATTTCAAAGTTTCCCTAGAGCCATAAGATGTTTTCCAGTCACACATTCCCTGCAAAAGACAAGGCTCCTTTCCAAAATCTGTCAGCTGGCAGCAAAGGTTCCCACACAGATCCCATGCAATTAGAGTTCTTCAGTCTCATCCTAAGAAACAAACCTCCAAGGGGCTGTTTTCACTCGTACATCATGGAGGTACTGCCCATGAAGAGACAGCTAATTCTGGACACATCTCCTGTATTACCTTTCTCCAAAACCAGGTAGATAGAAAAGAAATCTAGGGTTTGTTTAGCAAAATTGTAGGCCAGCCTTTGCTGCAAGAGTAGAAACAAAAAGGCTCAAACAAATACAGCTATTCTAGACTGAGCTCAAAAGACAAGTATCTCTCCAGCTCCTGAATTCCTCCAAGCCTGCTCAGCTGATGATGTTCACAACAACATCCCATCACCCTGGCATTGCCCTCAGTCCCGTTAACCTCCCTGTCCCCCTTTATACAATACAACCACATCCCAAAGCTATAGATAAGTTCATTTTTTTTTTCCTAGAACAAGGGATCTTGGGGATTTAAGGGCAGCCTCTCATCTCCAGTTCACAGCACATCAGTCACAGGCTTATCAAACTGCACCACTGCCACCAATGGTCCTTCCTGACGCCGTTCAGGGTGTGTAAGGACTATTTTTTCAGTCTTTTAAAACCCACAGACAGCTACTCCCAGAAGGATCTGAACTCCTCTGTTTACTCAAGGCTATTCATATGCTCATACCAAAGATTATCTAGTCACTAGCTGTACCTACCAAGATTGTTCAGCCCCTAATCCCCACAAAGACATCACGTTGTTTTTTTTTTACAAGAAAACACATGACACCCTGCAAGTAAGGATGACAAAGACATTAAACATTAGTCTGCCTCCACTTGTCTGGGACCAGAGATGCTCCTCCTTCGCCCTGGCTCTTGTGATACATTTAACCCCAGTGCCAAACTTTCCTGCCCAGTTAGACCCAACACTTCCCATTCTGGCTCAGCAGTCTGAAGGTGTCAGCATTAGCCAAACCACTCCCTTGCCTTTTGCTGTCTAGGAACATCAGTCCTCCTTTGCCACCCTGGCAGAGAGGCTGTGACAGCCTGGCCACACTGCTTGGCACTTATAAAAACCAGAGAGTGCAACGTTCTTGGGAACTTTCACCTCAAGATCGCTTCTTAAAAAAAACCCAACAAAAAACCTGTTTCTCACTTTGCCCATCCCACTCAGCAGAACCACTTCTCTGTAACACTAAAGAAGTTGTCGTGTTCACGTTAAGCCCAGGATTCTGCAAATTCTTAGACTCAGAAACTAACCTTAGTGCCAGTCATTGAGGCAGAACTGTGTGGACACAGCAAAAATAATTACCTGCACGTTTCTCAGTTCAAAGCCAAAATATTTATCAGACCAGATGATTTCCTCATTGTTCCTTTGTGGCAGAGCCATCTTGTTCTCACTTATCTCACTTGCCAAGTTACCCACATTCCACACAAAAAACCCTGCAAGAGTTTCCTAACACATTCTCTCCCCCTTCATGTGTTATATTCAAAACAAAAAAAACCTCAGAATATCATTTTCAGACCATCAAAAAAATGTTCTTAGGTAAATTTTGTCACATATAGCAGCAGTTTCTGGTAAGCTCTCAGATCTGGTCCTGTCCAAATTAATTCCTGCAAAATATTTTTTATAAAAAGGAAAACCAAGCCAATGCCATTACAAAATTCAGTTCACTGTTAGGAGTACTACCTGTAACTTTTTTTACAGTGAGAGTGGCATTTCTGTGAGGAAATATCCACTGCTTCCTGCACATTATTAAATCACAGAGAGAACCAGCAATATGAAACTTAGGCGTCTCCAACACAAGCTCAGCCTGCTGCCCGTGTTAGTATCAGGGATTTTTTTTTGTATTTCCTAATCATAGGTGAACAGTGAAACACTCAATTCAATTTCCAAAATGTTGACCCGGCTTTTCTTCAAATTTCACCTTCGGTTTCCGGGGGGAAGAACAACCAGCCAAAGCCCCAAACAAAGAACATGCACACAAATGCAACTTCTGAGTACCCCAAAGGGGCACTTTCGGATCTGCCCGGCTGTGAATTTACAGTTACCAAGACACGTTTCCTAAAATTACTCAGGAATATATTTACTTAGTTTCACAAATAGTAAACCTATGCATATGGCTTGCTAACATTTGGCAGCTAATGCAGCCACACAGGAGCAAGTCAGATGTCCTTCTTCCTCACAAACCCACAGAATTATTGGTTTCAATTAAAATGCAGTAGATGCAATTAAAAGAAAGAGAAAAGAAAAACCTGCCTAATATGAAATTGTTTAAGAGGTCGTTGTGTTTGGCTTCTTTTGGAGAAGCCCTTGTTTTCACCACAGAGATTTACACTCACCTGTGTTGGGCCATTACCATGCCAGGCATTTACAATATTCAACCTCAGCAGGGTAAACATTTACCCAACCCAAAAAGGGCCCAGTATGGTAGAAGACTCTTCAAGCTGGGGACCCAAACACATTTTCATGACCATAGAATCATAGAATGGTTTGGATTGGAAGGGACCTTAAAGACCTGTTGCTCCAAGCCCTGTCCAACCCAGCCTTGAACACTTTCCAGGGATGGGGCAGCCACAACTTCTCTGGGCAACCTGTGCCAGGGCCTCACCACCCTCACAGGGAAGAATTTTTTTCTAATATCCAATATATACATACTCTCTTTCAATTTGAAGCCATTGCCCCCATCCTGTCACTACACACCCTTATAAACAGTCTTCAATCCCAGGCTGCAGATTTAACCAGACTGAATTTTCAGAACCAAGGAAAAAAGAATTTATTTTTCCATTTACTGACTGGAGAGCCAGGATATAAACAACAGCTTTCTTCTTGCTGAGATCACATCACAGAGTGGAACCACAACTTAAAATTTCCAAAAAGTACTTACAGGGAATGAAGAGCAGAGCTCTGTGAGCTTTGCTGAGCAGACAAGAAGTATTAGCAAGCAGACATGGCAATTGATAGTTCAGCAGAGAAAAGAGAAGATTTTCTAAGTATGTCAGTTTTAAAACAAAAGAATTAAACTGAAGCATTAACACCACTTCCTCAGAAGTATTAAGACCATGATTCAGAGCCAAATGTAAAAGCAAATATTCACTGTCAAAACTGGGTGGCAGAAGGAAATAACCTCTTTGGTATTTCAGCAATGATTTAATCACCTCCCATGACTAACTTGGAGAGACTTTGGAAGACTAACGGGATGGAACAGGATCCAAAGAGCATTGAATCCCAATTAATAAAAACAGGAATAACTCCAAAAAGACTAAGAAGAAAGATGACCTAGATTTTTGTTCCCTAAGAAGTCAGGAAAAAGATTTCTTTCTGAGGGAATACAGTCCACTTTATAAAAAAAAAAAAAAAAAAGTCATTTTGCTTCTTCCTTTGAGGAAGTAGATAGGCTACAATTGTGCAACTATTTCAACCACCAACTAGTTAACTTCCTATAGTAGACCTGACAAATGCAAATAAAAACCTCCTCAGTGCAACTCCCAAGCCACCCAGAAGAAATGAAGAGAATTCTCTCAGAGATGGAAATCACTGCGATTGAAATGCATTACATAGTTGTCATTACTTATCTCCCAAAAGCAAAGTAGGCATTTTTTGGACCACACCACTTTCCTGCTCTGGTTGAGATTTTTAGCTGTATGTAGTCCCAGTCTGCTTTAGACCACCAAGACCACTTTATGTTTTTCACACCAGCAGGGATCCAGCAATCTAATTTGAGGTGTGATATGGTAACAGCAGCAAGAAAACAAGCCTAAGAGACAAAACAGAGCACTTGCTCTCCCAGATAAGCCAGCTTTTTAAGCTGCACAAAGGCTAAATTAACACTGTGCCATAGGAAGGTCCTTCGTTCTACCCTACTCCCACCTTTCCTGTGGATGCACATTCCTACAAATGACCTTGCACCACCTCTGATGTCTGACTAACCATTCACAAGCCACTACAACTCACTAGTCCTGTATAAACATCACCACATCAACTGACCAAACAGCTTCTCATCTTCTGCCAGGTCAGCAAACCAGATCAGCTCCTGCAAGGGTCCACTAAGTACCAGAGTCTGGTGGCTGTTTTCCTTGTGCCTGCTGCCCATTCACAAGTCCTGAATCCACATTTCCACGGTTGAACCAGCACACCCTACTGTTTGCACTCCAAAGCCCACACACCACTTTTTTTGGCCTAAAAATCATATACATAACAGCCAACCTTTACATTACAAATGACAGCCCCGAATCATTGTCCTTGCATATCTTGCATTCAAGGTATTTTCTTAAGGAAAAAAAGCTTGCCAAATAAAATTCAAATACGTATTTAAGCCCCCCTGATTCCCACGTGCTTAAGTTAAAAGTTACAGCTCTGACAGATCCTCAGTGCCTACCTCCAGTTGGACTTCTTCACTTAAACTCACTTGGCTGAAATACAGTTTTATGTTATTTTTCCAAAATCTCCAGGGCTTCCCCCCCATCCTAGCAGAAAGGCATTTTCTTGAACCACACTGCAGAGAAGAATGCAGCAGGAAGCCAAGTCATCCTTTCACTTGGAAGGAGTTTAAACGAGAAGATTCCAAACTTCTTTTCAGATGACTCCAGCCCCACGCACTGGTATGAGACCCCACTCCCCTGAATTCATCAGGGATGTTCCTACTTCCAACTCCCGGGGAATTTGACAGCCACAGAACTCCAAAAAGCTCCTAACATTAAAATAAATACGCAAATAATGAAAACTCTGTTTCTTGGTTTCAGCAGCCCTTGGCACCGCAATTAGAGTTCTCCAAGGATGCACTTACCCCCTAATGAATCCCTGGAACAGTCATAACAGGGTGCAGGGCAGATTATGAAATCCCCACAACACAACTTGGTGAATTGATGTCTCCCCTGAGCAACACAAAGCTGGGCCTAGAGACAGCGAGCGTTTTTACGCTGTCTCAGTTTTGAAGCTTTATTAACAAATTAAATGAGAAATAAATACATCTCCCTCTGGGAACAGGAGGGAAAAAATGACATTTTAATAAGGAGCCCAGACACCTTTCCACACGGTTCTTGTGAACAAGAAAGAGAGCAGAGAAACTGATAGTAGAGCAAGTTCATTAACTACCATCTAAGACTGTGGCAGCACATGAACAAATCCCAAAACACCACAAGCAGCAGCTGAAATCAAGCCTCTCAGTTTTCTGCAGAGGCTGCTCTGGTCCCTGTGCCCATCTCCCAGAGATGTCAAGAAAAGACACTTTGCTGAGACAGCACAACAGCTGGCATGACACTGGGGAAGGAAAAGTGTTCCTTTATTTTTGCTGCTCTGCGGACATCCACATGTCCTCCCTTTGCAAGCCAGGGTGGGTCACGGGTAGTTGGAGCAACAGGACTGTCTCTTAAGAAAGTGCTTCACACACCAGTTTCCCTCCTCCCTGTAGCAGGCAGTGGGATAACAATGGTGACCCAGCACCCCAAATTAACCACCTTTTTTATCTAAGATTTTTGTGTGTCATTGTTGGAGACCATATGGTCCAAGTTTACAGCCAAGAATAAATCTCTTTACCCTCTCCTGTTTGCAGCAGCAACCTTAACATTCTTGTAATGCAGGTTTTGATGGATGCATTTCCTTTCCTCTCCATGAAAGTAAATCAGTGGGATACACTTAACCTCCCTCCTAAAACTCAACACAGGCCATGAAATCCAAGCGGGCAGAGTAAAAGATAATTCATGGTCTCAAGTGAAGCCAGGTGGATCACAGCTCCGTTGGCAAGCACGCACCCAGCATCTGCATGCTCAGAAAAGACATTAGAAATCGTCTGAACAATCAAAAATTGTCAGGCATGCACAAAGGATTTGGAATATAATTCTTGAGTGAACTTCTAAAAGGCAAAGCCATCAGTGCACCTTAGAAACCAATGCATTGTAGAACTCGAATCAAGTATTGCTCCATAATTTGACACACTTTCCCCTGCACAAAAGCATCTTTAAAGCCAAGTGTCTCATGCCTTGAACCTCTGTTATACTTAAGAAAATAAACTTAAAAAGACATTCATTATTCTTCAACTAAGCATTTCCCTACTAAGTCCCATCCTAAAACAACTTTTAACTGCTAATTTATCATCCTCCCTCCCAGTGACAGGGAAGATTTATAGTGGAAAAAGGCTTATTTAACATTACTCTGATGCCAAAAACACATGGTATTACACTTTTGGCGATACTGGTCAAGAAGCAACAACCAAGGAAAACAAACTGCTAAGAAATAACCCCCCCAAAAAACCCATTCCCATAATTGTAAGCCTTGGCATCGTTCCATTGGAATAAACTCCAATGGAATTCCAACTTGAAGGTTGTTTACAGCCGGAGGCCAAATGTCCCATTTCATCCTCTTGCAGCCACCTGCCTATCCCTTATCTGCAC